AACAATAAAACACTAGAGTATCTCGAGCTGAACAACAATTATTAGATTAGGAAAATAAAGATTTAAAGAGTTCGTTCCGTGTTTCATGACTCCACTCTACCATTTCTGGCATTGCTGGATGGAAATTCACAAGCTTAGGGATAGGAAGATATCTGTAATATGTTATCATGAGAACACTAGTATGAGCGACTGAGGCACCCTGCGCATTTCTTTCACTGGAAGCAAGAAAAATGAAAACTTGCTTGATTTTCCTATCTTTGGAAGCACGGTTGTCTATCTCCTTTCTTCTAGCACGTTTGCTTTTCAATTTCTGCATTTCAATATAATGTCTATAATATAAAAATAGACTGTGGGAAACAACAGAAAAGTAGAAAAAAGACCAGCATGGCTCACTTTGGTGCAGTTGGCTTGGTACGCCCACCGACATAGCAGAGAGAGCGTTAGCGTTGAAGAGGGCACGATGAGAGTCGCATCAATGCGGAAATCAACGGGCAAGGAAGGGGTCCCATTTCTCGGGTTCTGGGCCGTTTCTCATGGTTTTTCCTTCTTTCTTGTACCACTCACCATCCTAACTTAATTTGAAAGAGTTGCCTTTCCAGCGTAATTGCGTATTTAATTACTGAGAGATATCCGTGACTTTTCGCAACGAGTTCGTCTCCATACCGTCCGGGGACACATTCGGGGTTGCGGCCGGTCCAATTTTTCGAAATCCAGTTGAAATCTCGATCTTGCTCAAAACTTAGGCGTTGGGATCAGCTCAGTGCCCTGATCATAAATATGGCATTCGTTTTTGGCGCTATTTCGGACCGCGACGTGCTTCCTCTAGTTGTAGGGAGAAACTCGCCTTAATGGGGTTATTTGTGACCCTGACTATGAATATGGAGTCTAACATAAAACAGTACCATTTGGCACTCATGTGATTTGCCAGTCAACAATGCAAAAGCCGAACGTCGTAGGGAATCCAACTGAACTTCGTTCCGCTACGAGTCGATTAGAGTCCATCACGTTATCCACTAGGCATCGGATGTGCAGGGCGGAAGTGGTGTAGTGACAAGTGGCGCGCTTACCACGCGAGCGGTCCGGGGATCAAATCCTGGGTCGTGAGTCGCCCGGGCCAACCAAGCCTTCCATCCCTCCGGGGTCGGTTAATTGGTACCAGACTTGTCTGGGAGGATAAAAACACTGACTTGAACATCGGCTGGCCCCCGCAAGTCATTGTATAGGCCACATCGCATTCAAACGCCACTACGAATGTACAAATGGAAGTAGAATGCGTGCCGCATCCCAAAAAGGGATTGATCAACGGCAAATGCTTTATCCTTTATCCTTTCATCGGATATGCAATAGAGCGTCGCAGTGAAACGCCTTGTGGAACCATGACACTTTCATCAGCACATAGCTCGGACGAACGCACCATTTTGTCTACGGTTAGCGGAAACCTTTGGAAATATTAGACCGACGTCATAGTCGGCGACGGACCAAGCGATGGAGCGATCGCGATCGCTCCATCGCTTGTCCGTCGCTTGCCAATCGCTCTCGGTCGAGCGATTGGCAAGCGATTGCGCAATGTGCACAAGCGACGGGCGATTGGCCCCGCCCCCAGTCAATGCAGTCGGCTGCGGTATCGATCGAGCAGAGCCATTGCCCGTCGCTTGTGCACTTTGCAAGCGATTGCGCAATCGCTTGCCAATCGCTCGACCAAGAGCGATTGGCAAGCGACGGACAAGCGATGGAGCGATCGCGATCGCTCCATCGCTTGGTCCGTCGCCGACTATGACGTCGGTCTAACTCAAGCGGTGGACGATATATGCATACTAAGAAGCAGTAAATACGACAGTCCTGAAGAAATCTTTACACGCTTTGGTCTCTCAGGAGGCGAGACTGTTTAGCCGAAAAGACTCGTAAATTTAATGTTAACGGAAGTGTCCCTATATCATGCCAAAAAACCATTTTGAAAAATTGGCATGCCCCGAAGACATTCCTGGTAAGGGTATGTCAAAGAAATAACCTTGTCATTGCAACTGGATCCTGAGTATTGTTTGATTTCTTGCTTATCAATTCTTTCAGAAGAACCTGATAGAAAATCATCATGTCGAAGTTTTCATCCTCTTCAGGCCTGTAAGATTGTTCATTCGCGTGTCATCAGCTCGTAAATGTCCCGTCGCTCGCACTTTGGCATCGCTCGGGCGTGATAAGTGCCTTGGCCGTTGTGGCAGGGAGCTGCGAGCGACGGGAGATTTACGAGCTGATGGCGCCGAATTATCGTTGGTCGGCCGTGTAAATCTCCCGTCGCTCGCAGCGATGGATCGCTCAAGCGATCCGTCGCTCCTGCAATTTGTGCACAATCGCTCCAATCGCAAAGTCTGACATCGGCCACTGCCGAGACATTACCAAAAAAGGGGACTATCCCCATACAAGTTATTCCAGACGAGTATTTGAATAGCTGTACAGTACCTAATCACTTATCACTCACAACGGCTTCCATCAAATAAAATAACTTACCTCAGGATTACCTCCAATCCGCTCGATATATCGGACTTTTTTACGCGAGACCGTTTCACCAGACGCTGCTTATCAGAACACACCTGAATTTAATGTCACAGGAAGCTCAATGGCATTTACGGCGCGAAGATATATACTTGTATTAAAGAAGAACGAAATAAGAACAGTAGTGGGGAAACGGGTGAGGCCAGGCACGAGGGGTGGAACAGAAGCAAAAGACGCTGCTCTCAAAATTCATGCGGTCATGTCCGCTTGTTCCAGTTGATAACGCCACGTTTACCTCTAGACGGAATTGTTCATGGATAGTTGCCGATTCACGGACTTTGGCCTTAGCAGATTTTGGTCAAGATGGGAGTAATGTGAATCACGCAAATCGCGCGATGGGCGCCATCGCTCCCGTTGTGCGGGTCACAGGCCGTTGTGGCAGGGAGCGATCAATCGCTGGCGCGCCCCCCTCGATCGATACGTTGACTGAGGAGCTGCGCTGCGCTGCCTGTGACCCGCACAACGGGAGCGATGGCGCCCATCGCGCGATGGTCGCGCGATTCACATTACTCCCATCTTGACCAAATCGCTCCATCGCAACGTCTGACATCGGACCAGTCTGAGCGACATGAAACGGTCCTTTACAAAAGTATCCGTGAATGCTGAAAAAGGAATTAACGGAGGATGAGTCAAATAAGCTATGCGAAAAGAAGTTCGGCCAAAATTATACAATCAGGGAGAGGCGGTTTCAGTGTAGAGGTTCTTTCAAAAAAAGGATGATGGAGGACGTGGGCGCAAGCGAGGTTTGCGACCACAAGGTTACTAGAACGAAACTTTGCTTTGATTCTGTCCACCCAATGCGTGGCCAATGCGCCGAATTACGGATATGAAACAAATATTCGTTACCTTCTCAATTTGAGAACGATGTTTTCTTTTTCGAAAGCAGAAAAATCGGTGCTGGCATTTTTCGGCCGCCGAGAAGCTATCAACCGTGTGCGCCCTTCCCACTTGACTAACGTCGAATCTCTGAAAAACGAAGGACTATTAGAAGTGAAACGGCCCGTTGTCTCATACAAAATCTAGTTTGAAAATCGTTGGAAGGCTTATACACACCTCTCCTAGTCCGCCGCGGGCCGAAAGTTTTGTTCACAACCCAGCATTCTTGTGAAGGCTTATACACACCATTTGTAACCGCCTTACCACCTTTTCATGCATTTCCACAACTGATATATAAAAATAAGAGCTGAGCCGTAAACAGGCGAGATCTGAGCAAAATATAGCCTTTGGATCCCCTTTTCCCAAAGATGACAAAAAAACTAGACACGTGATGCTTAAGATAACCAAGAAATCAGGTAAATGAACGACTAAAACAATGGCTCTTGAAGGAGCGGTCACCGAGCTGAGAGACAAAAATTTGCAGAAAAATCATGAATCTTGCTACGAGGTCCTGAATCGAAACACGATAGCGGCAAGGTTGTTTAGATAAGCCAAAGTACACATGGTATTGCTAGGAAAGTGTAGTTGCCTTTCCTCCTGTTTCTCAACTATATGCAGCAGTGTGCTCCTTAGAGTCGCTGGCGAGGAGTAGCCTGCAGACAGCCCAATGTGTAGATAGTGATCGTTTATCACGCGCGCGCATAGCTCTCTAATTATTGGTCCAGTCTTTTCGCACCTGAACTTCGCAAATTGCTCTTCACTCTCACATATCCGCTTGCTCAACGATTTCATACTCATGGATGTTGCATGTTGGACTTGTTCTTGTTCTTGTTCTCGTTCTTCTTCCTCCTCGTCCCTAAATATCCACACTTGAGTACTTCCAATGATTGAACGAGATTCATGAGGTTGATGAGAGGAAACTGACTCGATATCGCTGCCAGCTGCAGCCGCAGCGGTTTCGTCGTCGCTACTCTCTATTTCTTCGTCGTCGGAATCCACAGCTCCTGAACAAACCATGAATTAGTTCCTACACGAATTCTTTCATGATCTTAGATGATGGTAAAAGAAACAAGCAAAGGATACCTTCTTTCCCAACTATGGAACTGGTGAAAGAAGATGCCGCCAACAGCAGTGTTCGGCTTCCAACAAATTGGAAACAAGTTGCCACTTTTTCGCGAGCTATGAAAAAGGAGACATATGAAAATACCCAGTATGCTGAAAAAGCCGAAAGGGCAACTGCTGACACTCAGAAGCAATATTATTAGTAACGTACCAGTTTTCAAATTTAGCTTTCGTTTCTTCATCCGCTTCTTTTAATAAATCTTTTGCAAGCTGTCCGCGAGGTAATTGGTTGAAGGCTCGTAGCGCTGCTTGTAACTTGATTTTTACGTACAGCAACTGCTCCCAGGTTTGTGTTTGAGCAAAGACCGATTCCGCTGGAAATAGCTGCGTAACATGGGGAGCACACGAGAATACACATATGAAAAGAATACCTTTTCGACGGTGTTTATCTTGATCAACTGTCTTCATGAGATCTTTCATTGTGACAGCTGTGGACTGCTTGTCGACCACTCCGTTGTTTTCATTATCATCTTCATCAGAATTCGAATCTATTCCGCTCTCCGC